GGGCACTTGGTGCTATTTGCTACAACACGCAAACCAAAGTGTCCCTGTTTAACCTTGTTTTTTTCCTTCGTCATGGACAGAGTATTAAAATTGCCATGTGATGACGAGATGAACTTTTAACCGGTACATTTATGAATTTTTCCTCTTTCGGCTTTACTAAGAAAACAATTCTCATATCGAGGCATTAAAACAGGAATTGTGATTGACTAACACAGATGGTGGACTCCTTTCATCAGAGGAGGAAAATGTGAGGAGAGAACACACAAGCCTTATTTATTCAGGAAAATTTGATTGTTGTGCTGCCCAGTCTGAACTGGGCAAAAAACTTTCCCCAGACAGCTGTTATGAAAGCCCAGTCATTTCATTAATAATAATTTATAATTTGTCCAATTCACATTGACTGGCACCAACCATCACAACCAAGCTAACTAATTTGGCATTCGAGGTCAGTTCTTGACAACTGTTTCAGGACATGGCACTTTTTTCGGTGTGGGCTGAAAATCTAGAGCCAGCAGAAAATCTGCCTGCTCCCACCTAAATACACATTTCATGTGTGAGCCTTTAATCCTTATGGTAACTCTTCTAATCCCTGTAAAAACTATTACCCTCTAGAGAGAACAACACCTGGTTATGGGATAGTTTCAATTCAATTTGTATTTCTAGACTAATCAAAAATAGCATCTACATTAAGTTCAGAAAGGGGTTAAAAATAATTCAGCCAATGAACTGTGCGCTCTGTTTTGTGTCTGTATGGTTAAGTCACAAGAACAGTCATGGGATTTAATTTTCATTCATATGATTAAAATCTGCTTGTTGAGATAATGGAAGATGCTTTGAATAGTTTGCATTTCTTAGCAGGAAAGGAGGAGCTACCGCTCAGTAATCATATAGCTAGCAAAAAATTGCACAGCCTTTAAAAACATTGCAGATGTAAGTAGAAGAAAAAATTGCGTCAGACACATTATATAACTAAATTTTGTTTCTTATTTTGAGTTTTTACCTTATTATAACAAGGATCTCAGGCATATTTCCAAACTACAATTTACAAAATAATGATATGCTCTTTGGTCACTTTTTATATTATGCAAATTATGTATACATACATGCTATTTAATTACTAGAATTGGGGGGCTGAAGGAGACATGGAATTGATGCTCTTGCCCCCATTGATGGCTGCTGATCAAAACACCTTGAGGAAAGGTCATTTTTGAAAAAGAATAAACTTTTGACATCTTTGTCATCGATCAACATGTGATTTTAATATTGTTATACTTTCACTTCTCTGCTAAACTTGGTACAGATTTCCTTTTTAATATAGTCAGTAGATAATATTGGAATATCTAGCTATTCTAAATGATCTTGTTATAACATGAAAATGTTAATCTAAATGAGGATTGTTGTACTGTATTTGCATCTGTGCAAAGGCCCAATCCTGAAGACGTTACAATGAATAATCCTTACATTAGGTTTATTCTTGTATAGATGGCTTTTGTGGCAAGGGCATGTAGACTAGGGTCTGACTTTATAAATTAAGGATATGTAAGATTATTTTTTCTAATACGTACACACTTTGATCCACATGTGTTTTCTGTGTCTACGACACAACAGGGTGTTGAAGTTACTACCTTTCTGAGTTATAGGATGGAGCAAAGGTATCAAAGGAAATTTCCATGAAAGAATTACCAATGAGGGAATTCAAACCTAGAATCCTGTTACACTGGCAGAGCACCATTCATGTCACATGCAGGGGACAGATGAGAATTCTAAACTATTCAAGAAGGAATTTTTAGGCTCTCTTGTTTCTCCTCATCAGTGCAAGGTTTCATGAAGCATCTCTAGGCATTTTACAAAGGCCTGGTCTACACTACAAAGTAAGGTTGACTAGCTGCATTGTGTCAACCTAGATGAACATGTGTCTATTCTTTAATTTGTCTCCCACCGATGTAAGTGCCCCGTTACAGCGATGCAGTAACACCGCCTCCCTGAATGGGGTTGAGCCGTGCTGGGTGTACTGAGGTCGATCCAGCACAAATGCAGGCACTGCCTTACTTATGTCCACCTTAACAGTTGTCCAGCTGTTGTCCCACAATGCCTGACGCTGACTGCTCTGGTCACAATTGTGAACTCCAGTGCCCAGGGATCACGGAGACTACTAGGCCTCCTTCCTCTCTAAAGCCCCGCAAATTTTTGAAATACCTTTTCCTGATTGTCCAGTTCGTCAAGCACACCTAACAGCTCTCCATTGTTGTGTGCAGCTGACCATGCCGGCTCCATGCTCCAGTTGGAGTAGACCGGAGATATTGGATCTCCTGGGCCTGTGGGGAGAAGAGGCTGTGCAAGCACAGCTACAGACCAAAAGCGCAAACAACTGTCATTCTGCATCTGCCGATCTGGTAACTGAATCTTTCCTTGGTGCTGTCAGGGTGGCCAGCGTATGGCTTCATGAGCAAGGGGGAGGCTGGGTCCCCCACGATCATTATTGGCATTCCGACATCACCAATGGTAATCTGCCGGTCAGGAGGGAAAGTCCCAGCTTGTAGCTTTTTGAACAGTCTTGTGTTCTTACAGATGCATGCGTCATGCACCTTCACTGATGTCAGTGGTTCACCAATGCTTGCATAACCATAGAAAAGTCTCCCTTTCTGTTGATGTACTCTGTGGCCAGGTGATCTGGTGCCAAAATAAGGATGTGTGTTCTATCACTCCACTGCAGTTCGGGAAACCATTGCTGCAAATCCATCCACCATGTCCTGTACAGTGCCCAGAGTGTCAGTCCTGCGTTGCAGGACACGATTAATGGCCCTGCACACTTGCATGACCGTGTTCCCCCACTGAATTTCCAAAATGATTTCCCACTGACTGGTGCTAGTCCGGCGTTGCACATTTCCACGCAGTGATCACCATGCTCGTCTCCACTGTCAGTGCAGCTCTCATTTTGGGGTCCCTGCACTGGAAGGCAGGGGTTTGCTCTGTGCACAGATCCAGGAATATGGCCTTGCTCATCCGAAAGTTCTGCAGGCACTGCTCGTTATCCCAAGCCTGCATTATGATGCAGTCCCACCAGCCAGGGCTCATTTCTCTGGCCCAGAAGTGGTGCTACACCATCTGCAGCTGCTCTGTGAATGCCAGGGTCCTACTAGGCATCCTTTTCACTACTGATAACTGTTCTCAGTTAGAGGTAAGGGTGCTGGGTTGTTTTGTTTTGTGTTTGGCTTAACTTTGGGATGTGATCTTATCTAAGTGGCTAAAGAATTAATGGAGCACTGGGACTGACCTACCTTTCACTCTAGCTGGTGTTTTTTCAGTATCTTCATTCAGTAATGGCCAGTGTTCTCATAACGCCTGCTCGGATTAGATATGTCTTAATCCTTCACCTATATCATGAAAGATATGATTAGGAAAGAGGCCAATACTTTTATAATGGTTCTGCACATGCCTTCATTACAGTCCATTGAGATTTCCCTTACATTAGTTCAAATCTTTGTCCTCTGCTGTAGTACTTGTCTGTCAACATAGCCATCTACCTCTGGCCAAAACCATCCTGCACTTTTCCCTAAACATGGCATTGCTACCCCCCCAGCTGTAAAATAGATGCACTTTAAAACCCCGTTACTGAAATGTATTTAAATAGCTTCTTAACTTGCTACAAAATGTAAAGTACACTAGTACAAGCATATTTCTGGGAGTGTTTGCCTTGAAGGTTTTCACATATCTCTGCAAAAGGATAGCTGTATGTCTAAATAACATTCCAGTGAGTTTTCTGAAAGGTTAAACTAGGGTCACTGGCATTTAACTACTTGTTTTGGGAGAGGTTTCACTAGACAGTTAATTCTATTTAGCAGTTTTCATTTGTTTCGTTTGTTCACTTGACTACTATAGTTAGGCATAGATGTGATTTCTTATTTACTGTCACTCTAGAACTTTTCAAATTGCATAATGATAGAACACAGGTAAATGTTCTTTCTCAATCCTTTTCTGATAAAACATCTACAGTGAGAGTTCATGTTTATCAATAAGATCCTCTCCTGATTCGTGCCAGCAAACATACTTTAACTTCATTTGATCAGAATATAAATTGGCTATGTATTGTTGAATGTTTGTTTTTTGATTGAAATGACTAATTTACTTTATATGCTATACAGCTCAGTATATATAAAGCCAAGTTGAGTTAGTACATTTGGCGGGGGGAAAATAGGTTGACCTATTCTGCTGCCTAAGTAAAAAAGTAGTGTAAACATAGCCATCGGATTCAACCGTGCTGCTGAAGTCAATGGCAAAACTCTGTTGACTTTGACACGAGCAAGATTCGACCCTAAATCATTTAGCATTCCAAAGGGGAGAAACTGGATGACTTCTGCAAATATTTATTTTTTAAAAAGTGTCAAGACACTGAAACACTTTACAAAATCAAATATCATTTGTAGAAATTTGCATAGTTGATGCAAGTTACAATTGTACTACTTAAAAAATTTCCTCTAATTCCAGGCCATTAGAGTAACACTTTTTCTTAAAACTTCCCACCATTGTGCTGCCATTGGTGCAGATCCACTGATGGTTGCAATGAGTGAAACTCTGGTGTGGAATAGCCAATGATGTTTTAACCAACGTGGGCTAAATAACACTGTAAGATACAAGTGGCTGGCCTTACACTGGTGCTACTTCCAGTGGAATGATAACTGTGGGGCAATCTTAAGGAAAATACTAATGCAGACAAGGCCTTTCTGAATATAAGACATAGTGATTATGGAATTAGACTGTAGATGCATATCTTCAAACAATCAAAAATTCTCTTTTCATGCTGCCATGTAAGTGTGACATGCAGATATTGAGAACTGCACATATTCTGGTCTTTAGCACTATAGTAATATTTAAAGTAAAGCAATAAAAAGGAGAATTGCATAAATCAGTGTTTAAAAATTAAACACAGCTTGTTTCAACAAATCTTGATAATTTAGAATTCTTGTTTTTTTTTGGTTTTTTTTTTTTTATTTTCCCATTGTTTCTCTTACTGTAGTTTGCTGGGACTTTATCAGATGGTTTGGGAAAGACGATGGATAATCGACATCAAACTGAACGAGAGTACATTCGATACCATGGCGCAACCAGTGGAGAACATCTAATAGCAGGGATCCATGGACTTGCTCATGGTAATTTGTGCATCAATAGATTATACTATTGTAATAACGGTTCCTTTGTTATCTCTGTCACTGTGGATTCAAAGTGATAGGATTCAGAAAAACAATGCAGTTCAATTTAAGCCACTCCACACTGGTTGGTTACAAGTGGCTTAAGGTAATGGAGCAATTGCTGGCTTTCCTTTTAATTTAATTGTGTTTTTAATTTTGGCCAAGGCAACTAGATTTGAGAATAGGTCCTATTGAAGTGTACTGTTGGATATCAAAACTAAATTTAGGAAAGAGATCAGCCAAAATTTCTAATTTCCATATAGGTTCATAAATATGCTTACAATCACTTTGTAAGGGACAAATAATAAGATAATATTCAGCCAGTGGTACAAATGAATGAATAAGTGTATCGCGCTTAGCTTCCCCTGCTTTCACTCAGTTCCCACAAATTCCAGTTTTCTTGCACAATCCGGCCCTTAGCCTGTCTGTATTCAAAGTTGCACCTGTTTAACTTTCAGCTATCTTAAAACAAAAAACAAAACAAAAAAAACAGTTTATTTAAACTGGTGCAAAAGACCGTGTGGACACTCTTAATTTGATTGAAGACAATTTTGGCAATTTAGCTTGTCGATTCTCTGCTGAATTAAGCTAAATCGATATAAGCCAGGTTTAAATCATTTGAATATTCACAGTGTATTTTGTATCAGTTTCATTAAATTTGTTTAAAATTGTGCCTTTAGTTAACCTGGTGCAATTTCAAATGCAGTCTGTATGATTATCAAAAAGTCTTGTACTTAAGAAATGTAAAATTAGGGGAAATTTGTTTATTCAGTCTCTGTCTTAGACTGAAATAGTTTTCTAGGTAGTTGAAGCCCCATCACTTGAGATAGGTGATGGCCCAAAAATGGAAAAGGTTCATTTCTGTAAGTTGTTTCCATATCTAACTCTTGTAGTTTACTTAAGTGCAGGAATAAAAAAATTTATATGAGAAAGATAGCAGTTCTAAATGGATCACATTAGACTTCCCTTTGAATGCAAAGCATTTTGATTATTTCAGGTACAGAACATTAGGTGTGTTCTCAAATCAGGTATAAATTATGTTGTTAGCAACATGTGAAATCTGAAATATGATTGTTTTAATGAAGAGTCAGTTAGAAAGATTCATTAGCTGATTAGCTTCTTTGACTTGAATCCTTTTTGTTTTTTTAATGTTTCCAATTTCCATTTCTTCAAAGAAGCAGTTGACTGTTAAATTCTGTCTGTTGAACTGTAGTTTTCCCAAATACTCCACTGTATGGCAAAGTTACCCAAATGAAACAATTAAACATAGCATATGCTATATGCTTCTCGACTCCACAACTTATGTACCAACAATACTGTTTGTACTACCAACATCACAATGTTTACTGTCTTTTGGCTGTGATGTAAAATCTGTAGGGCAGTCAAAGAAGTCTATGGAGCTAGGTCAGTTGATACTAGGGTGACCAGACAGCAAGTGTGAAAAATCGGGATAGGGGGTGGGGGGTAACAGGAGCCTATATAAGAAAAAGACCCAAAAATCGGGACTGTCCCTATAAAATCGGGACATCTGGTCACCCTAGTTGATACCAGCTGAGGATCTGCCTTTTAAGTTCCTAACCCCTTGTTGGGCCCTCAAGTTCTCATGGACATTAACATTTTGCAAGAATGAGATGCCTGTCCCCAGTGTCCTGGTCAAAATTCCACTTCGCCTGCTTAAATTTCTCATTATATTTCCAACTGAACACAGTATTTTTTTTTTTCCTGTCCTAAGCTGTTGTGTAATATTTTGTGTTCTGTTAAATCCTTGTCACACTGTTGGAGGTGGCTTCACTTCAGCAGTAGACAAAATACTTTTGTGTATGGATAGCATCAGGATAAATTGCCCTGTACAAATATAAGACTATATTATTAGATTAATAAAAAAAAAACATTCAAACTTTTCATGTGCTGCATTAAGTGAGTAACATGCTTTCCCACTATCAAGAACTTTCAAAAAAGTAAATCATTTAACATTGTCAGCTGTAATAACATCCTGTCGTTTTATTTTTAGTGGCAAAGCAGTTGGTCCACTTACAGTCTTTGTTGTCTTTGCTAGGAATCATTGGTGGATTAACAAGTGTAATAACCTCAACAGTAGAAGGTGTCAAAACTGAAGGAGGAGTCAGTGGTTTCATATCAGGCCTTGGGAAAGGGCTGGTTGGCACAGTAACCAAACCAATGGCTGGTGCCCTTGATTTTGCTTCTGAAACAGCGCAGGCAGTGAGAGACACTGCAACTCTTAGTGGCCCCAGGTCAGTGAATGCTTTTCATTTCTAATCATAATAAAGTGTCTACAAAAGCATATTGCAATACCTTCTGCAATTTTGTAATGGATTTTGTTTCCTAGCCCAAAGGAATTGTAATTTTATAATTATTACTTTGTATTATTAGTTTTGCTTCTAGTTGATTTAATTAGATCCTTTTTGAAATGCTGCATTTAATTACCTCCTTTTTGAAATACTGCATTTGTAGACTAACTAATATGGCCTTTTGTACTAGTAAAATTGGTACAGAAAAGCTACAGTGTAATATAGGAGATTCTCATTACTAAGAACATAAGAATGGCCATACTGGGTCAGACCAAAGGTCCATCTAGCCCAGTATCCTATCTTCCAACTGTGGCCAATGCCAGGTGCCTCAGAGGGAATGAACAGAACAGGTAATCATCAAGTGATCCATCCCCCCATCGTCAGGGCCGGCTCCAGGCACCAGCTTCTCAAGGAGGTGCTTGGGGTGGCCGCTCAGGAGAGGGGTGGCAGGTCCAGGTATTCAGCGGCAATTCGGCGGACGGTCCCTCACTCCACTTGGGAGTGAAGGACCTCCCGCCAAATTGCCGCCGCAGATCGCGATTGCGGCTTTTTTGTTTTGTTTTGTTTTGTTTTTTGTTTTGGCTGCTTGGGGCGGCCAAAACCCTGGAGCCGGCCCTGCCCGTCGTCCATTTCCAGCTTCTGGCAGACAAAGGCTAGAGACACCATCCCTACCCATCCTGGTTAATACCCATTGAGGGACCTGTCCTCCATGAACTTATCTAGTTCTTTTTTGAACCCTGCTATAGTCTTGGCCTTCACAACATCCTCTGGCAAGGAGTTCCACAGGTTGGCTGTGCGTTGTGTGAAAAAATACTTCCTTTTGTTTGTTTTTAACCTGCTGCCTATTAATTTCATTTGGAGACCCCTACTTCTTGTGTTATGAGAAGGAATAAATAACACTTCCTTATTTACTTTCCCCACACCAGTCATGATTTTATAGACCTCTATCATATCCCCCCTTAGTCATCTCTTTTCCAAGCTGAAAAGTCCCAGTCTTATTAATCTCTCCTCATATGGAAGCCGTACCATACTCCTAATAATTTTTGTTGCCCTTTTCTAAACCTTTTCCAATTCCAGTACATCTTTTTTGAGATGGGGCGACCACATCTGCATGCAGTATTACTACATCATATTCTAATAAATCAGGAAAAAGAAAGTCTGAAGAGCTTAAATATAATAAGAAAGAAATTGCCATCTTGGTATCCTGATGCAGAATTGAACTAAAAATGTTCTTCTTTAGGCTTCCATTAAGAATTCATAGGAAAACAGTTGTTTTAAAGAAGTTGAAGAGTTCTGAAGATAATGTAATAGCGACATCCCTTCTATTTTTCTTTTGCAAAATCAGTTTTTACTAAGAATATGTATGTGTGTGTGATTGTGCATGTACACACATTACTCCTGGGGGAATTCTGTGCCAAAAATATTAAAAATTCTGTGCACAATATTTTACAGTTCTGCAAAATTATGCATATTTTATTTGTCAATATAATCAAGCCAGTTTCAGTTATTTTGGTAATTTATCCCAAACTATCTGTCAGCAAGTATGTCTGTAGCAATACAGATAGCAATAAAGATTCCCCCAGGAGTAGAGAGTTAAAGAAACCCCTACGACAATCCAGTTCCTGTTTCTCTGTTATGCTTTTACTGGGCACCTCAGTCTAGGTGTGTCACATGTGCCGGCTGGGCATATCATGGGGGAAAACTCTGCCCCTCTGGTCTTAGACACCCGCCCTTCACCCCTGAGTCTAGCCATGGGGCATCCCCCC